AAGCAAACTAATTATAGAGGACGAGACACGAAATGAACGTCCGTGACATTCAAACGCTAAGCCCCTATCCCCCACCGATGTGTTTGAAAAACAATTAAAATTTAGATTGGCGTTTTTCACAGAATGAAATCAGTTAAAAAATTGTATGATTTCTTTCCTAAATAATATTTTGCTACCAAAGAAATAGAAAAATGTTTTAATCTTTTTTATTTACCATCAGGCAATACATACATAAATTCATACATTCATAAATTCATACATTCAAGAAATTAGTAAATTCACAATTTAAAAAATAGTCTGAGAAAACAATCTTTCGAGACTTAAATCATTCTTTTAAACATCAATTTCAATCATATTATATGGAAATTAATATTATACTTACTTTGGGAACTTAAAATTCATGTTAAAACTGCAGTGCATGTTTATTAAAGTTCTTATGCAATTTATGTAATTTTTATTGGTTCAAAATTTGTTTTACAATTAGTCTGTTTCAGTCTGAAGTAGAAATTAATTCCCAAAATCTTGATTGATTCTTTTACTTCCTTTTTTGTGAATTTTTGATTATCTAGTGGAAGAATCATTCTGTTTACCATTGGTGTCTCTTCTCTTTGACAATTTATCACGCATCTGTGCAGAGACAACTGGTCCTTATTTTTAAACCCCGGCGATCAGAAAAAAGGGTGTCTGCCCGCACAAGTGAGACAGACACTCTTTTTGTTTTACAAACACGGCTGATTAATTCGAAGCGACGATCTTTCGCCTTGATCAGCGCGCTGGGACCGAAAAAGAAAATTGAAGAGTACCACCCGGAGGTGTGTTAGTTGTTCTAATTGTGACGATGCACACATGTGCGCTATATGGGCTTGAAAAAGACGTCGGTCTGGCGCTGCTAAATATATTTACTGGCCGGGAACGCAGCTGGCAGGTGCATTTCCTGATGACTTGCGCCTCCCTCACCCCAGCCTTGAACTTTCCGTGAAAAGCGCACGATTGCTGCATTTTTTATTTGACAGCTGAATTATCGCCTTTGTGGTCTAAAATTGGAGACGCTTAACGCATCGAACTGTTGTTTCCTCCAGGAATAGAGACGAATTTTAAAATAAAAAAATTATTTGATTTATTATTTTAAGGAAAAAAGCAACAACAAAATTCCAGATCATTTGCAAATTGTAAATTTTGCATGATTAATTTTCAGTTCTGAATACTTTTTATCTGTATGGAATCATGGAAGAAGTAAAATGTAAATTTTCATTCATTCTTATTTGATTAAATGAGTGTTTTCGTGCAATACTTTTTCTTTAGAGAGGTAATTGGATCGGTGGAGAGGAACAAGTAAGACGCGGTGATAAAAAGCTGCTTTTCGAATGCGTGTGTATGCCCAAAGCTTAGACCATTACACAGGCTACGCTCAATGAAAGCAGCTGCCAAAAAAAAAACGCCGTGTAATTTCTCTGGGCTGCTGCTCCAACATATGATAACCTGGTCATTATGGTTGTGTAAAAATAAGATACTTACAAATCTTAATTTAAATAACTTTATTTATTTGATTCTGTTAAAATAACGATTGCTTTGCTTATTTTGTTCGCAAGTTTTTTTTTAGTTGCAAATTTTTTTATAAAAATTATTCAACATAAACTGAACCAGTTTACTGCCATCATTCAACAATTATTATTTTTTCTTGCAGCTCTTGTTCAGCCTAACACTTGTCCAATTTACTTGCTTTCTCAGTTAGTTAAATTCCTTATATTCTCATGTTTTGTAAATTTTATTTAATCATTTAATTACTAGGTTTCTCCAACACAACTAAATTAAAATAATTGCATTACAAATAAATTGTAACAAAAAAACTATTTTCATGGCTAAGTAATGTGTTTATAAAAAAATCAAAACCTGCTTGTTTTTTTCACTTAATCATTTGTCTACTGAAACCTGTGACAAACGTCTGGAAAAAATTTGAGTCGCGGACTTTCTGTTAGATTAAATTTTTGGCTCTGGCACGCTGAACTGTACTTACATACGCCGCCAACTGTTTTGTATTAAACGTGGGGCGGCGAGCGATGAGGTACGTATAATGGTATTCACGAGGGCCGCAGCTGTGACCATGTATTTGACCCTCGGAGGTCATACGATATAACATCAAGGGCCGGCAGCATGCGTGTGTGTGTCATATTGGACTTGACCAAAGTTATTTGTTGGAGACAAACCGCCCCCTGATGATATTGGAGCAGCAGGTTTTACATAAGCTGCGCTACGTGCCGGCCAACCTGCTCCTTTTCCGCCCCAAGAAACAAATTTTTTTCTCGGACCCGCACCGAAACTTCTTTATTTTATCGATGAGACCCGCGGGACGAATTTTTCCATTTTTCCACCCAGAGACGTGATGCTAAAATTCTATCAAAACGTGCGTGTTTTTTTTCCTCTCTCTTGTGTGGCCATAGCCAGACCAGCAGCTAGACCGGCCGGCGTCTTCAAAAGTTTGCACACAGGCGTGCCTTTGCATATTTATGAGGGCCTGTCGCAAATATGAGTAGCACCTATAGATTGTTTAGCAACTTGCTTCCTTTTCTACCTGTGAAATCAATGATTTGAATTCCTGGAATTAATACTTTTTGTATAAAAAAAAAGGTTCAAGAATTTTGAAATCAATCAAAAATCAAATAAACGTTACCATTGCGTTCCAGAGGGTTGTTGATGAAATAATAAGCTTTTTTTAAATATTATTTTTAACTCTACTTCTACCAATGTTTGGATAATCAAATTAATTAATCGAACTGAAATTTTTGCAAATTTTCATGGTAATCATGAAACTAGTATAATTCAAACAGTGGGCGCATAATGCATGTTGAAATATATATTCATATCTTTTCTGAATCATATCTGCAAGTTACTTTTCTAATTTCCTTATTTTAATACATACTAATTAATTTACATTATGAATAATATTCACATTATGGATGAAGTCGTGTTAAACACATTTTTGCTTTTAAGATGTATATAATATAGCAAAGCAACCTTAATTAATTTTATGAAATTTAACATTTTTAGATTGTTTAGAATCGTTTTAGAAAGTTTCAAACACTCAGTCAAATATAAGAAACAAATTTCTTCATACTAATTGACAACTTTAAAAAATAATTTTAATAAATATATAAATCAAATTAAAATAATTAATTTCAAAATACTTACAATTTTTGTGACTTTAAACTGTTAAATTAAACAGCGACATTATTTAAAAAACAAAAATTACTATCATATTAAGCTACAAAGATATTCATAAGATTATTATTACAATATAATTAAATTATACATTTTTACTCAAATTACTTCTTATTGTTAAACTTAATGTTTGTATCAAATTTAGACATTTTGTATTGTTTTTTAGTATTTTTTCTCGTTTCTCAAGATTGGGAAAATTTTGCAGAATCAAAGAAATTGAGAGCAAGCAGTTCGCAATAAGGCGCGTCTCTCCAGCTTTCTCTCAATATGGATTGCAGATGTGGCCCGGTGGTGTCACGTGCGCCGGCAATATTTGCTGCTGCAAGTTGCCGCGCGCCAGCCCCCATTAATCACTTTCGCAGTCAAATAATTAGATTCGCTGCAAAATATTTTCCCCGTCTCGAGACGACGACGTCTCTTTGTGCCCGGCGGCGGCACTTGATTTATTTTAATAAAGATCCGCGAGCGAGCGAGCGAGAGACGAAGACGCTGGAAACGGCAGCGGCGGCGAGCACGTGTGCTTGAAGGGTTAAACTGGCGTGACAAATCCATTCACGCGGGCGGCGCGCAAACAAAGCTGACACCTCTCTCGGCGCGCGCTAATTATGCAATCTGCGACGCATCCCGATCAAAAGCGCCGTCTGTTGTCGTCAGTGATGTTTTTGCACGTTATCGAAGACGCTTGACAAGTTTTCAACGCAAACAGATTTGCTTCTTCAATTTGTGTAGTAAAAGATTTTAAATTGTTTATATAACTTCGAAAAAATAATGTCAGTGCACAAACTTTAATTTTAATACTACACTGTATAGTAAATCTGTACAACATAAAATTATTGGTACAAATTATAATCTTCTGGGTAGAGCGTTTGACAGGGGGGAAATTTTGGGGACTCCTGGGAATTCCCGGGATTTCCCATTTACAGTGATTTCCTTCACATATAATAGAGGCAATTAAATCAAACTCAATTTACAATAAACGCTAATTCTAGTCATGTGCTTGTGTCTTAAAATGTTCTATTTCGCAGAGTGGAGTCAAAAAAACAGCCTGAAAAATTCATCAAATTATGAGGACGGAAAAACTACATTTTAAAATTACATGACATAATATATATATCGACATATGTCTGTTTATAATATATTTTCCCGGCCTGCAATTGTAAATATTCAACACGCACATCTGAATATTGCGTTGATAAATACCCTGTTTGCGGCACTCAAAGCGCAAATGAAGCAAATTTGCGTTGCAAGGGAGTGTGTGTGTGTGTATATGAGCAAACCAATTCGAAAGGAATGATCGTGTTGCGGCGTCTGGGCGGTTGGTTCTGGCGTGATAACCGGATTAAGGTTCGCAAGGCTTATCAACCCCCGGCCCGGCGGCGCTGCTCCTTCGCGTCCCCCTCGCTTCTCTAGCTCGGCAAACACTCGCACGGCCTTTTGCAAATCGCACAGGGCCAAATAAATATATATCCAGCCACTTGTGCATGAAAGTAGTAAATTCACGCGGTGGTCATTCAAATTGCGTCATCAAGAGCGCCTCTCCAGAGAGAAAGAGCGAAATGCAGCCGGAGAAAAAGAGAGATAGCTCGCCAGAAGCATCTGTTCTCCATCCCGCCGGTTCTCACCGCCGCAAATGTGGCGTGGGAATTTTTTATCAAAACATTCAATGCTCTCGCGCGGCTGGTTATTAGAATAGGAAAATAATGTTATTATTATTCGCGGTGCCGCCTCAGGCCGAACGCACCACTACTTTTTATTCACAATTTTTCTTCCTCTTGTTTTCGCAGACAGAGCTCGCAATAGTGGCCGGCGTATGGAGCCAAAGCTTCTGCAGGGCAGCATCAAGGAGGAAGCCCCGGAGAGGCCCCCGCAGCAGCCGCCCAGTCCAGCAGCCCACAAGGCCAGGAGTTCGCCGCCGGCCTCCGAAGCAGCTCGACCAACCAGGGCTTCATCCAAAGGTAGGATAATGTTAATTTTATATATGAATTTATTGCATTTCAAAAATGAAAGTTCTGGTATTAAAATTTATAATGATTCATTGTTGATAAATGTTTATTATTTTGTTAAATTGAGTTTATATCACTGAAGAAAAACTTAATAATTGTGCTGCTTTTAGGTAATTTGTTTAAATTTTGGTTTATATAAAATGCTAATAGTTAATTTTTGATGTGTTAGAAGCTATGAATGAATTTAGCTACTTTTCAAACCTCAACACGAAGTAACACAATCAACAAAATTTGTGTGAAGTTTTTCTTATTCAAATTTGGTTTTGGAAAGAAAACAGATTTTTTAACATTATTTTACTTCTCCATGATTTTCTATTTAATTTAAAATTTCCTCATAGAAATCTTTTTTTGATGGATTAAAATCTTAATTTGGAAATTTTTACAATAAATAATAATATAATATATATATGTATTAAAATAGGCTTAATTGAGAAACAGAAATAATTCAAATTTGCCGATTTACAATAAAAATTGTTTTATGTCGATAACCGAGCAAAAAATCATCATTTTCAAATAAAAGGATAAAAGTTTTGGCTTCCAATAGATATATGAAAACAATTGTTGGATTGCCTAATTTTTCATCTCCTTCCTAAATTTCAGACACCGTGTCTTTCATGAAATTTTGCCAAATCGTGACGCTCTTTGAACTTTCCCATTGGCGCGCGTTCTCATCTTCGATGCAGATGTCCACTTCTCATGATTCAATTCGCCGCCGACGGCGCTCACAATTTCTCTCTCACGATAATTTCCAGGGGGCTGTGCGCCTCTCTACAAAGGGGAGATGCGAGCGCGGAAGGGTTGGTTTGTTTTTGAAATGTTTTTATCGTCGGGCGGCGGGAATTAGATTAAGAAAAGACATGCGATAACAAAGGCTGCGCTCTCCCATGAATAAGAGGCGCGCACTCAGCATTCGCATTCCTCTCACTCGGACGCGCGCGAGGGTGATTAATGATGGATATTGTATATTGAAGTGTGTCTTTATATTAGGCGGATAAGTGTTTCGTTTGTGATGCCACCCGCACGTTTTCTTTTTCTCAAAGATGGATAGATAGAGAGTGAGAGCGCCCCGAGTGCGAGAGGTCCATTTAGTTGATCCCAGGCGAGAGAGCGAAGGAGAAGAGAGAGAGAGAACTCTTTACATGGTGCAGGGCCAGTGTGCGGCTGATGTCGTGTGTGCACCCCGTGAGAATCGGGACACGTGCCCACCCACCCGACACTGCTCCACCTCAAACGCAGCGGCGGCGTTTCCTTCCCAAAGATCTCCGCAGGGAGCATTTTGCTTTTCTTACACAAATAATTACCTTTTCGTAAATAATGAAAGCGGTGGTAAATCTCATCGAGCTGTAATTTTAATATCTCCATTCAAATCAGACTTGCAAATTTTATGCGCTGGATTTTACTATGTACTCAATTAAAAATTATTTTTCCTCAAAAGATTAAGTGAGAAAAAGAGTTTGCTTAATACCTCCTAATTTTTTTGTTAATTAACTCATTTCTTAATTTTAATTATTTAATTCCGTTAAAATCATTCACCTTATCTTCCAGGGAATGCAATTACAAATTGATATTTCAAAAACGCTCAGCTCACAAAGATAATTTAATGTTTTTCCATGATAAAAATAAATATGCTGATTCATAATCTACTTTGTTCATTATCTGAATTTGTGGCGATAAAGCAGACACTAAAGAGTGAATTACGCACTTTCTGTGCATATTTGTATGCACGGTTATTAGATAAGATTACTTATTACTTCAGCAGCTGTTATTCAATCTGGTATTGGCTTTGCATTACTATGGAATTGAATCATTCACTTCAACAACAAATTTTAATTTTTCACGGTTTTTCATTTATAATTTCCAGGCCAATAAGTGCCCTGGGTTTTTACCTCTTGAAATTTTGAACAAAAAGAAAAACCCGTTTTACCATGACTGTCAATTAAAATTACTAATTTACTGTTAGCTATTCACAACTTCATTGGCAGAACAGATCGAAGAAAAAGAAATTATGCAAGAAATCAAAACTCTAAACTTATCTTCTGTACATAATAAAAATCGGTTTATATGTTCGTGATTATTAACTTTTATGACTTTTTGTGAGAGATTCAAAGAGTTGAATTCGAAACTATTTAAAATTTTGACAAACAAAAACTTGAAAAAGACTAAAATGTAAAAATATACAATGAAAACTATTTTTCTTTATTTCAATTTCATGCTAATTAACGTTAAATTTTTTTGTAAGTTTTCAAAGATTCAGTTTTTTTTTTCGATTTTGTTCAGATAGATATATTATTATTTTCAAGCAATGCCTCAAAATCTTCACTAGGCCCAATAAAGTGGGTGACAGTTAATGATCGGCAGGGTTATTCAAGCGGGCTGGCACGCATTCATCGTCGGGCGCCGCTCACTCTCTCGGTGTGTACCGAGGAGCCGTTTGAATAATGACGGAGGCGCAACCTTTTAGCGACCCACCATATTTCGTGCACCTGTCTTAGCGCGTCCTTTGTGCGCCGCGCAAGAAGCAAGACGTATCAATTTCTGCGGCACGATCCATCATCAAAGTTGTCCCCGGCAAAATGTGTCGCTCAAATTAATTCTCCGTCGCTCCACCAGAGATCGATTGAATATGCATGATTTTTTCGCTCTCTCGACTAAACCTTTAAAAGCCGTCCAGGGAGAGAAAAAGAAACGCGTTTGCACAGAAAAAAAGGAGGAAAATCTGGCTGGCTAGCAAAAGCACGGCTTAATCTGCTGATGTAGCAGCGCTACATCATCGGCTTAAGTCTGCTGCTCATTATGAGTGCAGCCTCTCTCTCTATCTCTCTCTCTGCTAATACACACAGCGCTGTTTCTTCTCCTTTTTTAAATTCGCGCTGCGACGGCACACGTTTGCTTCTTCTCTTTAAGTGCAATACAAACGGCCTTAAGCTCTTAAAAGCTTTCTCGATTGCTAATTTTTTGAGAGAAGGAAAATTCAACGTAGCATTATTTTTTGTGATGTAAAAATGAAAATATTAAATTTCGTCAGTAAAATACGTGAATTATATTAATTTTGATTAAATTTTTGAATACACTAACATATTTTTTTTGCTTTCATTGTAAGTCATTACAATTTTTTAAACTTTTCTATGAAAATTAAAATCATTTGTAAGTTTTCGTTATAAGTTTTACTCTACCTTTTAATTAAATTCGTTTGACATTTGCTCAAAGATATAATTAAATACAAGTTGCATAAATTAATCTCTTGATATCTTGCACTGTTTGCCGTTAGAATGGAAGATTGAAGATGTATGACAGAGGAAAAAATATCCTCTTAAATTATTAATTATAGTGTTCACATCTTATTCTATATAATTATATACTGGTTAAATAACACACCGGAATACAATGTGAAATAATGTTTATTTAAGATTTGAGTCGATTCAAGCATTAAAATTTTTTCATGATAACTTGCATTTAGATTATCTTAATTAATTTATCTAACAATGATTTTGTTGGATCAGGAATTTTAAGTCTTTTTTTAAACAAATTAGCACATAAAACCATTCTAGTGTTGTTTTCAACGACGAATTTATGTATAATGTTTGCATTTTAATCTGCTGGCAATTAGGAGCGGAATTTTTCGGGTGCTGGTAGGTCCCACGCAATTATCAGGCAGCTCTCTTTGTCGAAACACACGAGTATATACGAAAAAAGACGCGCAATGTGGGCTCTAAATATTGCGCTGATCAACAGCCGGGACCAAGCAAGGGTTGCTGCGAGGGGGCAAACACAAAGATCAGGGCGCCCGTATCGTATGCAACCAGCCAGCCAGCCAATCTCGCCTTTCTTCTCTCTCAATGTTCGCGAGAGAATTTTCGCCTCTGGCAAAACAGGTTGCAGTTGCGAAACAGGCCTTATCCCGGCGCGCAGACCCACCCCAAGGGACCTCACCCCTGCTCGTCCCCCCTTCACACACACATTTAATTTTTATATTTTAATCCTGGCGCGCGTTATCTTGACCGGCACACAGACCGAGTGCGTTTTATCAGCAAGTAATTGTCGCCCGGGCGCTGCACAGATTCCGCCGCCGACGGGATTGTTTGTTTTCAATTAATTTGTCCGCGGCTGCTGCTGCGGTGCGCCGAAAAAATGGAGCAAAATAAATACTGGTGATAAAAGCAAACTCGTCACCATTGCAAAGCCCCTCCATGATTTTATTATTCCACTCCGACTCTATATCTACTTCCAAAACTGGTTTTGGCTCTTTTTAATTAGTTTTCAACGTTTTCAACCAAGATTTATCTCTTTCGATGTAAAAAGTTTAAAGATGCCTGTCTTCTAAAAGCAAATCCTTCTTAATGATGATTAAGTTTTAAAAAAGCGGATTAATTTTGTTTGAGGAAATTGACACTCGAGGAGATGATCATGGAAATGAATAAAATCGGGCATTTCCTCATTGTAAAAATTTGTTTGAAATAGGGTCGTAGACCCATGACCAAAACTGGTAGAGCCGTTTTGTTTTTTAATAAAAATCGTATTAATTTTGTCGCAGGTTTTAAAATCATTCCTTTTTTTCTCACAAGAAAGTACCTAATTTTAATATTTTTTTTTATAGAATAATTTACTTGCATAATCTTGCATTCATAAATAGAACAGGCATTTCTCCAGTAATTAAGTGCTAGCACAGTGAGAAAATTTAAAATAATTTCTGTAGCACAGAAAATCATATTATTTTTTTGAATAACTAACTATAATGCTTTTTCAATACGCCACCAACCAACTTATAATCAAGACGAATGACAAATGTAGCGACACTAGCGTCTTCAAATTACTTTTTGCTAACCAAACTTTTTAATTTTGTTAACATAAATAATTTTTTTTTAAAAATTGTTAATAAATATAATAAAACAATGGCTGCATTTATTGCTTCTGTATTCAAATAAAAGATTCTAAATTACAGTGTAATTTGAAAA